ACACACGCACGCACGCACGCACACACACACACGCACGCACGCACGCACACACACACACACACACACACGCTGGATGAACATAACTCCAGTGCCAAAGAGCTAAATATGGAGTTTCTCTGTTTCTTTCTTGTTTTTTTTAATTAATTAATTAATTTTACTCCCTGCAGCTGAAAATATTTTCCACTCTCATCCTCTCTGGACCAGAAAACTAGGCCAACCCTCTGCCTCCGAAACAAACAGAGGGGACGGAAAGCAAGATGGAAGGTTGAGAAGAGAGGGGATAAGGAAGAGGGAGTGACAGGGAAATAAATGACAGAGAAATGAGAGTGAGAGTGGGAGATGAAACCATCATTGCACAGGGGACGCAACCAGGACCACAAAACACAAGAACTGAATGTTTAGTGAGAAGAACAAGAGTTTAACGTTTGATGCTGAAAAGATGAGTGGTGCTGCGCATGCACAACTGTCTTCACTGGAAATCTAAGTTTATTAACCATATTTTGGTTTGTCAAAAATGTCTGTATAGACCCCCCCCCCCCCTAATTTTAGCTTTAGTTGAAGTTTACATACAGTAAAACTAAATGAAAGTGAGAAAAGTAAATAAAATAAATGTTTTTTTATTTACTATAATGACCTTGATCCATAAGAATTTTTTTACATATATTTTATTAATATATTTTTTTTTCAGTTTGCTGAGCTCTAAATTATTTTAATGGATAAAAATATTTAAAAAAAATCCATATCCATTAATTCACAAACAACTGGAAAATTCATGGGGCCTTTGAACTTTGTTGTGGACAATGGTGGACCTTGGAGTCAAAAAAGGTGAGATATGACGGTCGACGTAAAAAAAAGGCTGGTTGCTAACCTGTAAGTATAGAGAAAGGAGGCATGTGTTTGTGGTCTCCTCTGCTGGGTTTGCTGGTGTGAGCCGTGCTGTCTGGGGTCTCTATTACTGCCGTCACATTATCATCACCCATTGGATCTCTGGTCGCCAGCACCTGTGTCTCCTCTTCCTCTTCCCTTACTGCGTGTGTCTTTTTCTCCACATGATCCTCCGGGACACTAGATGGCGCTGAGGTGTTTTCTGCCCTCCTGTGTCCTCCTTTCTCTTTCGCTGTCGAATCCGGCACTGCTGTGGGTGGATCTTTTGTCGCGGAGCCATTCGTCTGCGTTTCAACATCGTCTGGAACACTGCCGTCTTTACTCTCAGCACCTTTCTCCTCATCCTCTTCCTCTTCTCCGTTCTTTTCTCCGTCCTCATCCTCACCCTTCCCTCCCTTATCTCCTCTGTCGTCAGATCCGTCGTTCTCTGCGGCTGCGGTAGTGTCTCTGTCGGAGGCCGGTGAGGAGGTTGGTTCTGTGGTGGTCACCATAGGTTTGGCTGGGGCCTGCCGGGTGGAGGGCGGAGGCCTGGTGGGCCAGACGGAGCTGGGGAAGGAGGAGATGACCCCACCACTGAAACCCAACCCCGCCAGGAGGGTGCTGGTCACCACAGACGCCACTGTCGCTTGGCTGCCGCTGGAAGAGGGGCCGATCCCGGTTGCCATTGAAACGAAGGAGAACGGAAGACCGGAGGACGTCCAAGTGGAGGAGCCGGAGCTGATGGGAGCCATGTCTGCCGAGGATGCTGGGGACACAGTTGGCTAGAGACAGAAAGAAATTATATTTTGAATTGATTCTTAAAGATAAAATCTGTGCACATCATGTGAGTAAAATAGACCCGACACAAGCCAGACGAGGACCAACAGAATAACATGTTTCAGGCCAGTTTGGAGCCATCCTTTTCATGCATAACTACGGATTTGCATTGAGTTCCAATTTATAATTATTGTATACATGTAATTGAATGTTTATAATTATTATACAAATATATTTCAACCTGGTCTCATAAAAATACGTAACTCTGTGCACTTTTTGTGCAGCGCCGTTTTTACGTACCTTAAAGCACGTTTCGCCGCAGTTTCAAAGAGAAATGTCCACTGAGTGGCGCTAAAACACTGGTTCAATTCGTGAACCCTGGCACGTTTTTATTACGTTGATATAGGTACATATTGCTGTGTTTTTATTACGTTGCTTCAGGTACGTATTGCGGCGGTTCAGAATTCAAATATCCGGGGACTGTCGCTAAAAGTTAGTGCTCTATCGTTTTGGAAATATGCCCTACACCAAACCCAACCGATAGTGTTAACAAATGCAAAACTGATATAAAATCGCATTTGTTGACGCAACCGTGTCATTTGAACTTACTTATATGCAGATTTGAACCGTTTTGTCAAACCGTAGTTACACGGGATTCGAACCAGAGCTCCTCGCCTCTTAAGTACGTCTCCGTACTCCGTGAGCTACCGAACAAACCTACCGTCGATGAAAACCCAACCCATTGATATGAAGCTGGATATGTGCGGTGCCAACGTTCAAAAGCATCAGTTTTCAAATCACCCAGCATATTAAAATTGTTTTGAAGTCATAACATGATATTCTTCAAGTAATTGTGCGAAAATTACGCTTTATTAATCGAAACTCTGTAAATGTGTGTGTGAAAAGGAATAAAAGGTGTCGGAGTTGTACTGCCTCTAGTGTTCATTTCTTTTGGAAACTGCAGTGATATGTACTTATTGGTACGTATTTCGCGTCTCGCTAAAAAGTGCACCCAGCTACATTTATGCCATGAGACCAGGTAGATATATTTCTGTATTATCTAAAATAAATATTACATAAAACAAATACATACTGTAATTATTGTATATATACAGTATATATATATATATATATATATA